TGTTAATTAAGCAACACCATAAAACGAGCCTCGTTAGTAAGAGAAACGTTAAGAAAATGTGATAATTCTAGATACATAATTCGTAATATTACCAAAAATCAAAATAAGTAAGCATTACAGCGCGACGTTGCATTATAAGATCTTGTAACAAAACAAAAGCGAACTGAACTTGTACGAGTATTTAGCTTTAGGGGTCGAAAAATTAAAATTGGTTCCATAAACGTAACTGTGTTTGGTGAAATTAATGTAACGTTTTCAAAATCCTGGACACAAATTTGTTAGAAAACCTAAATTTAGGGCGATCCTGTATCTCACTAGTTTACTCATCAAGTGAGAAGAAGATACTTGTGTAATCTAACTATTTAATCACTTTGTTTTTGAAAATGATAGTTTCAGTCGATAATTTAATGAAAAATGCAAATAATCAATTGAAAAAATGAATAAGAATTGAAAATTTTGATTTGTAAGTGAATAAAATGTAAGATTAAAAATTGAGTTACACGATTAAGCTGACAGTGTAACACATAAATTTTCTTTTTGAAAAATGTAATAAATTTACTATGCATGTAACAAATATAGAAACACTGAACGTATAAGTATAAACATATTATTATGAATGTATGTAGATAAATTTATTATTTGTTTAGATACATATACATAAATTTATACACATTATTATAAAATTAAATGTACATTTTGTGTACATTTTATATTTTTAAGAATATTATAAATTCTTTTCAATAATAGGCCTATGAGCACACTACAAGAAAACATTATTTTTTTTTCCGCTCTACAACCATACTGCATGGTTTTTATCAGTTCTAATGGGAAAAAAAAAAGAATAACATAAAATTGAAAATGAACGTGGGTATTTTATAAATAAATTGAGAAATTTTATACTTTTTTTTTTTATTTATATGAAGTAAATATGTAATTATTTTTGTATATTGTATTTCAATTATTTTATATATTCATATATAGAAAAAAATATGAGATTGTGAGTACATTATACGTTTAAATATATAATACATAATTTCGAAAGTAAACAAGATAAATAAAAGAAATGAAATTATATTAAAAAAACAACATAGTTAGAAATTTTAGAATTTTTTATAAATTCTTATAATAATAAAAAATGTCGTTTAAAACAAAAGAGTATTGTGCCCATCAAATACGGTCACAATATTTATATTAAAGTATGAATCGAGAATAATTATGGACCTTTTTCTTATATTACTGCAATCCTAGTTGACTCACAAAGCTTTATACTAAAGCTTCTTAACATATTTCTAAATTATAGGTCTCAGATTTATTAAATATTATAGACTCTTTATTGGTAGTCATTTCCAATTTACTTTTACTTCTTCTTTATATCATTACTTGTATAATCGAATTAGGAATTTGAATTGATCTACTGTAAAAACGTATATAATATCCAGGAGTCACAATTAAAATAATGATGATTAAATGCCTATATATTATATAGACAATAAAAATATTAATTATTTCGAAAAATTTAAACTAGTATTTGCATAACATACTACAAGTTTTTCTTTGCAACTAGCTAATACAAATGAAAAATTTTTCCTGTTTTCAAAATTTAATTAATATTTCCATAATTTATTCGTTTAAAATATAAAAAAATTTTAAATTCTTTTCCAAATTTTGTGGATAAATAGAGAAAGTTTTAATTACATTTACAAACGCAAAAGTAAGTACTTAATTCTGGAAGAAATAGCGAAATGTATTTTTTTACATATCTTAATTACAAATGATTTCTTGATAGCATAAAATTGATTAACTATTTGTTTTTGATTTTTGATTTGTAATCAAGTTAATATTTTTTTAAATAATTAATTTTAATCTATACATTATGATTATGATTATCTACATGCATATATCTGGATCATTGTTAATGCAAAAGAGACTGTATATCGAGTGAATTATTCACATATTTTCTCACACAATCTTATTCATTAAATATTTTTTCTAATTGTGTACTATAAATATCTCATTTTATGCTGCTTTATATTTGTGAAAATATTTTTAAAATTGATTTATCAATATTTAAAAAATAATTAAATTCTTGATGGTTCATCATAATATATGGACCTCCTGTTCAAACAATTTCATTTCTTGAATTCAAATTGAAACTCAAAATTTTCATAGAAGCTTAGAATTCAACTTAATATTCCCATGGATTCTAATGATATAATTTCATTTATTGGTACATGCTACAAAAATACCCGTATATAGCGTTCGCACTAAATATGGTTACTCCTAACGTATTCATTTAAGCCGCTTATTAAAAAACTTATATAAAATAAAGAAGATAATTATGTATGTATGGAATGTGTCCACATATGGACGCATTTTTCTCAATATTATCCTTTATTATTTGAATTGTTTCACTAGACAGCGCTAATTATTTCACTAGATGATGCTTCGATTTATATTATATGGAATTTTCAACTTCTTTTAAATTCTTGTTAAATACCAAAATTTTATATTAGTTATAAAATCTGAATACTTAATATTCTAAAAATAAAAAATTAAAAAAAAAAAGAATAATAATGATTAAAAATTGTAATCTTATTTTAATTATTATCAACCAGTCTATAAGAATATAGTATGCAATTGACATTTACACAAACATACTATGTTTACATACTAAACGTTTATGTACAAAAATACTTTAATATATTTTATAGTAGGAAAAAAATAAAATAATTAATAAATAAAAACTGATAGTAAAAAAGAATCTATATAAAGAAAATAGTGAATAAATAAATTAAATAAAAACAAAAGATACAATTTAAAAAAAAAAAATTATTATTAACTTTGTAAAATTTCAATGTTTTTTTGTTTTTCCTTCTTTTTAGGTCAACGTCCTAACACAACATTTTCCAAGATTCTAATACAAATTGTATAAATGTATGTAATTGATATTCGTCATTTTGTTTTTATATAAAACAAAAAATAAAATGCAACTTACATAAATATGTTTTTCTCTTCTATTAAATAATTTGTAAAAAAAAAAAACACACAATTATGGTGGGTTGGGTACATCTACACTTGTTGCATACAACAAGATTTATATACAACTAACAAATAGTTGTCTATTTAAAAGTTGTATAGAGCAAAAAGATAGAGAACTATATAGAGAGGAAAACAAAATATGTATAGCATAAAATATATACAAAAAAAAAAACAAAATAATAAAAAAATTGAATGCTTTTTTAAACATAGAAAAAATATGAAAAAGCTTATTTATAAGAGAATTTTATTGAAAAGAAAGCCTTCTCATTAATTCTCATAAATTTTTTGTATTTTCTCTTAAATTCTATGTTTTTCTCTACATAAACTACATTGGTACATTACGACGAAATATATTTAGAAAAAAGCATAACGATTTTTAACGAGAAACATTCAAAAAATAATCGAATTCTGAAGAAAATAATTCCAGTATTTTTGTTTGATTTGATTTTGAAAAAAGTTTGAAAAGAAATTTGATATCTTAAAACTATTTGTTTGATAATTAAACAAACTATCAAACAATTATTATTCGTGGATTTATTTTTATTTAATTTAAAATTCGATAAAAGTTTTGAGAAATTTAATTTTGTTTAATGGAAAAAAAAATAGAAAATCATTTAATTTTCACCAGAGTCATTGTCATTGTCAATTTCAATATTAATAATAGATGACAATAAGTTCTATAATAGTGTACAAAAGTACAAATATAATTTTGATTTTCGAATTCGTTAACAATCTTTAATGTCCAAACACTACCTTGTATAACTTAAGCCTTAATTAAGGTACTTGTATTATTTAATTGTCATTCATTTCCATTTATAATATCGTTAATCTCTTGCTTATTTCGTAACAAATAACTTTTTCCAATAAGTTTCTTTAAAAATAAAAAATAATTTTGATGTGAAAAATGTTCTGCAAACCGAATAGTGTGCAGTGGAAATTAAGATTAACAAAAAAAAAAAAACACAAGCTGTGACGGTAAACAGACAGACATGCAATTGTTAGTTTTGCAATTACTGCTTGATTGTAAAATCATTTCACGCTATATTCTATCTATGGGATAACAGCTGTAAAACTAAAAATTGCATTCCAATCTGAGACTTTGTAGTAAAATTGAATTAATTGTAAAACTTGTAGAAAAGACTATTAACGGTAAAATAAATTAATTGCTAGTTAATGTAATTATTTTTAGTTTAATTTGTTCTATAATAGAAATTTTTTAAAAACCATTTTCAAATACGCCATTTTCAAATACGTGCATGATACTCGATTGTATAACATTCATACTACCTCATATCTTTTCCCAAAAACATGTATGAAATATTCCTAAATGTGAATGTGATGTGTGCTTTAAATACTAAACTCTAAAAATTTCTAGAAAATATTAAAATTAAATTCGAAAATAATTTATTAAATTTTAATTAATATATTTATCATGAATATTATTGAGATTCAAATTTCACTTCAGTTTACAATAATTAATATTTTTTAATTATACAATTATGATTTTGCTTCTTTTTAAAATTTATCATGAACAAAAACCTTTTAGTACATTTACATTTTGAGAACTTAAGGAAAAATACGTAATTTAACTTTTTCCTTTTTAGCACAAGTTTGTATCTGCCAATCTATGAATGAAATTAATGTGGTTTTCCCTTAAAACCGTCTACTAAAAATATTCATAAATAGACAAAAACATTTCACAACGCAATTATCCATAAACAAAAGAAAAATAGTAAAGTATAAAAATTTTCACATTTTTATGATTTATTTAAAATTCTTTTAAATTTAATTTCATTTAATTAAAAACGATTTAAATAAAATATGTAATATGACCTTGGATTCATAATATATAATAAGAAATAAGTAGTATATTAAATAAATTTTTTTTTTTGTGTTTGTCAGCATGGCGTCAATATTGAATTGGAAAAAAAAAATTTTATCTAACTTTTTTTTTTACTTACAGATAAATTTGGTTCCTCCGATATTATCATATCTTCACAATCCATTTTACGTTTATACTTTAAGAGCACAATTTTGAAAATTTTAAAAATATTTTTTTTAAAATTAAAAATTAAAATCTTTTTCTAAAAAATATGTAAAGAGATTTTTCTTGTTTACAAATAAAGTTCTTCCTTGTTTCTGCTGATTAATGACTATTTTTTTTATTTTTTTGTTGGCAGCTGAATAATTTTGTATTAGTGTGAGTATATGTGACAATGTTTTAAATGAAATGCTGAATTTAAAAGAAATGCGTCGATTAATGTCAAAAATGGTTTTTTGAAGAAAAGCTAAGGTACTGTTTACACATATTTTGAAGCCATTCTAAAAATCAAATAATTTTTTAAATTAAGATTTCGTTTAAATAAATGAAGCTACTTCTGTTTTCAAAAAATTAGCTAACCTTTTTTTATATTAAAACAAAAATTTTTTGAGATTTTGACAAAGATAATGTGAATTCTACGCAAACGGTATGCAATAAATAATTTTTATTACTTTTTTTGAGTCTAAAACAATTCTTTCCGCTAATAATCGAAGGTTCCCAAAATAATCGAAGGTTGTGTGGTCTGTTTGAGTTTAGAAGATCTTGAAAATCTTTTATTTTGTATTGGAAGAAAAATGATATACCGTCATGTTGCGCACTCTAATGATAAAGTACCTACAACTTTTATTGAAGAACATATTAGGAAATTGGTTGTGCTATGTAAAATCAATTGTGTAGAATAATCCCTCAATGATCTCAAAAAAGTTCTTTAAAAAACGACCTGACATCATGTTTCAAATGTTTTTCAAGAAATTTAAAGTAAAAATTATTGTATGAAGCATAGAAAAAAAAAATTGGTAATTAAACACGACTTCAAAATTGAAGTTATAGGTATCATGTATTTAAAAATTCAGTGAAAATTTCGATGCAGTCTTCATCAACTTGTGAGTTACAATTTCTGAATTGTACAGGAACATAGTATTATAATATACTGTTGTAACACTGAAGCTCCGGAGAAGAACGTAAAATTACATTGCCTGCAAATCCTCTTTTTACAATATATGGTAAATATCTGATATGATTTGTGCAGATTTCTGAATTAATTGCAATTATTACATGGTTGAAGCTAAAAAATAGAAATAAATGAATTTGGTGGCAAGAAACCTGCCGTTCTAGTTGGGGAAATCAAATAATTTTTAACAATAAATATTTTTGGGTACCATTATGTACGATTGAATAAATTAGATTCAAATTAAAAGTTCACTTTCATTAAGATTGTAGACGTTTTGGCATTAATTTGATCAAACCGAACTTGGTAACTCAAAACAATTTTGAACGACACTATTTACTTTTAGCTAATTGTAAATTAAAAAATTACAAAGGTAAATTATTACTTTTTTTTTTAATAAAAAAACAAATCTTTATTTCTACTTAACCGGTAATTTCAAAAAAATTTCTTACAAAAAGAGAAATTGTTCACATTAAAATCATTTTTAGTTGATTCCAAAATCATAAGTTTAATTGTAAATAAATTAAAGTATGTAATATAATCCACTTTTAGACTTAATTATATGATGTTGTTCCTGTTGATAGTAGAGCTAATAGTCCACTTGATGCCCCAACAGATATCATGTAATTGAAGGTGGGTGATGAATTTTTGAAAACAAAGAAACTAATTCCAATTATCATTGTTAAAAACAATGCATTGTTATAAAATATTGAAAATGTTGTAGCTTCATAATCAGCTACTTCATTTTTTTTCCATAATACACGTTCATCCTTTTCCTTTCTTGTCATTTTTTTATCATCAGCCAATGATCTCATTACTTCTCTAGTAACTGCATCTTCGCGTTTAAGAGCAACTTTATGTTTTAGCGAAAATTTTGTGTTTCTATATGCCATAGCCATCAAATAAGTGCTAATGCATGTTACAATTCCAAAAAATACGGCACTTGAAAGTAAGTCCATATTGTGGATTCTCCAGAAGAGCCCTGGAATATAAATTTGAATATTAACATGCTAATTTAAAATATACAGAAAACGACTTTAAAGTTGCTTAAAAACATTTAAAAATATTGAGAGTGTTGATAAATGTAGATGTAATATTTACCCATTATAATATTACATATTATTTTAAACTTTCTAATTGTCAACGTGTCAGACTACTTACAAATTGGAATGGCTGATACAATAAATGCATTTCCATAAAACAAAGCTGATGATTTTGTGCTAACATTACGACTAAAATCTTGTAATAATAATTCTTCTTCTTTTGTGAATCCAGATGCTCCAACTTTTTGTGTTTTTGTTTGTCCACCCATTTTAAAAATTCAAAAAATAAATAGCACTTTAAAAAAAATCACAAGTTCACTTCACACCAACTGATATCAGAATCGGAAAGGTTAATAAAGTGTTGGGTTGTTTAAAGCAAAGCAAAAAAAACTTCGAAGTAATGTCAAAAATGACATTCGGTGGATTGTCGTTATGACGTGGAGCTGCGTTGGAGAAAACCAGTAAACCTATAAATATTGTAAAAAAAGTTTTTTGGGTTTGAGGCTTGAGTCTTGACATAACAAAAATATCAGTATTTCAAATAAAGTATTTTTATCAGCCGTGGATTGAATCTAAATATAATAAAGAAGATGTGTGATATATATATGGTTTGACAATCACTTCCCACAAAAAATGTCATTCAGCCCATTAAAATTAAATAGCTGGATTATATATTTCTGGAAAGTGAGCTTAAAACATTAGAACAATCAAATAGAATTTAAAATTTTGTACGGATTTTCACTGTACTTAAATGTCTTAAAATGACGTGCACCACTTTTGACGGTCACTTCCCGCAAATATATGATCGAGCCGTTTAATTTTAATGGGCTGTATAACATTTTTGTATGATATGTCTGTCAAACGTTTCAATCCTTATTAACATTCATGACTTAATTCGTAAAGTTCGCGTTTTGAAAAACGTAAAAACTGAAGTTTTATGTATGGTAAATTGGATTTTTGGATAGTTATCGTGGTTGGAATATGAAAATTTTGCCTGGCAACATCCTCTTCCAATAAAAAGATAAACCACAAAACATCTAAAATCGGAAGAAATAGTTGTCAGTTCTATACTGATAAACTTTGACAGCTGGTTGTCAATCCGTGGGTAACGTAGTTCAAACGACTTTGGCGATAATTTTTTAATTTAGCATTTTATTTTTTATTTTTAATTTTATGATTAGTAGAAGCAGCAGTTTTTTAAATCTACCATTTATATTTGTTTTTTAAGGTAAATAAATAATTAATACAAAATTTAAATCACGAAGCTTAGTGTTTCAAACTAGGAAATACCCTAAATAAAAACTGAACTTTGAACTGCGTCACAAATTGTATACATATATGTATGTATATGAATCAACCACAACGTATATCGGAATCTTACCAGGAACTCAGTATTTCACATTAAAATACATAATATAATCAATGGAGAACAAGCCAGGAGCTAGAGCCTTATTGGCAATGCAAAATATGAAGAACGAAATAATTGATTTCAAAAAACCAAAACAAGTTATCAAAAAAACAAAAAAGAAAATTCTTACAGAGGAACAATATATTCAAGAAATGGGTAGAATAATTCAAAGAGATTTTTTTCCAGATTTGGAAAAACTGGTGGCTCAAAATCAATATTTAGAAGCAAAAGAAAAAAATGATATTTATAAGCTTAGAGAGCTGTATGAAAAATATAGTCATGGAAATTTAACACAATCTCGAAGAACTGCAAATGAAAGTCCAGCTACATTCGAAACACCTTTTGTAAATCCTAATAGCACACCATTACCAAATGATAGAGATACTCCTCGTTCAAACAGCTCTGTTAAAAGTAATGAAAATGTTACTGGTGATAATACAATTGGTGATAACCATAGTCTTGACACTTTTTTAAACAACTTTACTAGTGAAGATAATCAAAGTTTTCAAGAAATTATGGAAAAAGCTGAAGAAAAATTAAAACAAAAGTTTGCAGTTTTATACAATGCTGAAAAAATGTCTGCAATTGAATTTGAAAAGAAGTTGGCTTTGCCAGCGATAGAGAAACAATTTGGTGAGAAATCCGGTGGGGAAATTGATACTTGGAGATACACAAATAAAAATACAGTTATGTATATTCCTGACGGAGTAGATTTCACAAAAGCTGAAAAATTGGAATTTGCAAAACGTAAACCAGCTGTTGTACATTCCAACACTAGGCTAAAACCAAATTTCAAGAATCCATTGCCACCTGGTAATGATGCAGCACCAAACAGTCGTTTAACTATTGAAAAAGTTGATATAGATGGAAATATAGTCAAAAAGCCGGAAAACCCTAATAGTAAATACGATTTTGTTAGAACACCATCCCCAAATCCAAGTGATATGGGAAGTCCCTTAATGACATGGGGAGAAATCGAAGGTACACCTTTTAGATTAGACGGTAGTGATACACCGATTTGTTCTATACCTGGGCCGTCATTTCGAATAAAAGAAACACCTAGAAGAGAGTGTATCGCACATGAACTAGCAGAAAAAGCAGGAGAACGTTTAAGAAATCAAAAACAAAATGCATTTGAAGCGGCCAAACGTAATATAAGTTCACCCTATATAAAATCTGTAATAGATAGGAAATTAGCTATGTCTCCTGCAGCTAGAAAATTAGCCGCATCATCTAAAGTCAGGTTAAGAACTTCTCTTTTGACTCCCCGAAGTACGAAAACCCCAGATTCTTCAAGAAGAATACATAAAACAAGTACAACTCCCATTATTGTTAGGAAAGCTCCAATAACTACACCTACATCACTCAGTAAATCAAAAGAGTTAATAGTTGAGGACCAAGCGGATCAAAGTATGGATATTTTAAGTTCACCAGAAAGTGATTTAACTTCCAATCTTTTACAAATTCCTAAAAGAACGAAAGCTTCAGATTTCTTTTAATGTAATTTACAATATTTATAAGAGGATTCTAATAAAATTTAGACATGTTGATTAAATTCAGACTATGTATTCCTTCTTGAATATCAAATACAGGGCAATTTTATTTTTAAATTAAGCGTCAAATTTTAAATTCTTATTTCTAAAAATCTTACATATTAAAAAAAATTCTTAACAGAGTGTACTTCTTTTAACAGTCTTAACAGTTTTGTTTGAAAATGCGTTCCTTACTGGTAACATTAACTAAAAATATTGCTCGAGTTGGTGCTCGCCATAATAGCTCTGCAGCTGGTTTAACTATTCTCGATATCAATGATAAGAATGGAATAGCAACACTAACTCTCAATCGCCCACCAGTTAATGGCCTTAATTTAGATTTATTAACAGCAATAAATGATTCATTAAGTAACGTTGAAGATAACAGGTGCAAAGGAATGATTTTAACTTCTGTAAGTGCGGGAAATAATTTTTGTAAGCACAAAATTATTTTTATAAATTTAAATTTACAACCTTTTCAGTCTAGTAAAACGGTTTTTTCTGCTGGTCTTGATATTATGGAAATGTATAAACCGGATCAAGAGAGGCTGAAAAAATTCTGGAGCACATTACAAGAAGTTTGGCTAAAATTATATGGTTCAGGATTTCCCACAGCAGTTGCTATTAATGTAATAAAATGTTTAAAATTAAAAACTAGAAGATAATCTTAAATATACAAAATTATATATAGGGTCATGCTCCAGCTGGTGGATGTTTGTTATCACTTTGTTGTGAATATCGCGTTATGTTGCCAAATTTTACAATTGGTCTAAATGAAACACAATTAGGGATTGTTGCACCAAAATGGTTTATGGCATCAATGAAAAATGTTTTGCCTAGTCGGTAAGTTTCTGATTTTAAAAGAAAATGGACTGTTTTTAAAAATATAAAATGTTTGTGATTTTTTTTTTTTAGAATTGCTGAAATGGCATTAACACAAGGTAAAATGTTTACTACTGATGAAGCCTTAAATATTGGTTTAGTTGATGATGTTGTTAATAATAAAGAAGAAGCGATAGCAAAGTGTGAAGAATTTATTGGAAGATTTAAAAAAATTAATCCTGTTGCAAGAGCATTAACAAAACAAGCATTTAGAAGTAAAGATCTAACAGAACTTGAAGATACAAAAGAACAAGATTTGCAAACATTTTTATTCTTTGTTAATCAGCCAAAGGTTCAAAAAGGTTTAGAGATTTATATGGAAAGCTTGAAAAAGAAAGGAAAATAACTTCGTTTTTTTCATTTAAAAAAAAAATATAATAAAATTTTTCAAATAAGTGCACAATGTACATATACCTTAACAAAAAAATACTGAAAGAAACTTTTATGTTTTACACATAGAGTTTCGAATTTATATATTATGCATTTATATTGATTGAAATTAGAATGTAAGTGCAAAAGTAGTTTTGAATATTTTCGTACTGAATACTATTTAAAAAAATCATTTTATAATTTCAAAGTACATATGTAATAAAATACTATACAATTTTTTTTATACAAGTAGTTTTTGATCATGTATTTATTAAAGTTGGTCAATAACATTGAGGCTGGTCTCAAGGATATTGACCAACATTATACTATTATATAGCCGATAAGCATTTATATCTATTCCTGTTCTATCTCTTCTGTTATTTGTTACTGTCGTTTTTTTCAGGAAGAAGAATAAATAGATAAAGTGGAGAAACTCCAAAAATTGTTATTTAAGTCTACAAAAATAATAATCTGTAGAAACACAAAGTTATCTCAAAAATTTATGCAAGCGCTTTTTTTTAAAAGAAGTTGACAGAAATTAAGTAATCATTCAAATTATGAATCTCTTAAAGAATAATTAAGATACACGAAAAAGCGCATCGTTTTATGGAAAACAAATGGCCTTTGCCAAATTAATTAGTCAAGTTGACTACCTCAGCAAATTTAATTGCTAATTTTACTAGATATTTCAAGTATAACAATGTACTTATGTACATACAAAATTCTTATTTTCCTTATTTTAATATCAAAACTAATTCAATGCTTAAATAAATTAAAAATTTTTAAATGGGGCTTAGTGATTGTAAAATAAGTAAATGTTTACACAAATTATAATAAAACGTTCTTTCAAAATATGTATAAAAAAATTAAAATAAATATAAAGAAGATATCACTGAATATTTTTGATATTATTGAATTAATAAAATGATTAAATTTTGAATTTGAAATTTTCACAATGGTCAATGTTTGCATTTAAATAAAAGCATTTATGTTTATTATTTATGTAAATTATTTTAGAAGCAATCATCCATATACAGACATTGATATTGAAAATGTAGTACTCATTCTTAAGAGTCAAGGTGAACAATAGTTGTTATTTATTTGTTAGAATGGTAGCACAAAAGTAAACAGTTTTATCATTTATTAGAATTCTTTTAATTTAAAGAAAATATTTACTTAATTAATTCTAAGTGATTTAAAAAATTATTTGCGAATTTTTAAATTTTTTTTGATAAATAGTTTGATTAATTTTTCTGTATTTAATTATTTCTATTTTTTTAATACATCAAATATTATAATAGGTTATATTCGATAGAAATAATTCTATAAGTGGATAACCACTGGACATCTTTGCCTTAAAGTTCGTTCTCCTTATAAGATATAAGGGAATATTGGTTAATATTTTTATATTTTCAAGAGATCAAATGAATTTTAATCACATTATTTACAATTGAAATTCCTCATGTTCCTCTTCAGTAATTCATCCCACATAGAGGCTTCCTTGTTCTGATGCAGCATTGATTTTGCTAATAACCTATGTGATAAGAAACATAATAGTATGCATGAATTTTTTTTAGACGAGAAAACTTTAAATACACTTATTGAGCATTTTCCTCCTCTGCTAAAAAAATTTTCAAGGATAATTAGAAAAAATAATGAAATATTAAAATAAATAATAACAAAGAACATAAAGGGGATCATTCCAAGCGAAAACTGGCGAAATTATATTTTTAAATTTATGTTTGTTTAGAACCTTGAACCAATCAAATGAATTTTTCAAAATTTTTACTCATTAATATTGTTTATTTTTATTGTTTTAATTGTTGGACTTTGATCAGTCAGTCAGACCCTAATGTTTATTTTTTTAAGAATTTTATGACGAAAATTTTTTGTTATAGATTCTGATATTCTCTGTGAATACCAATAGGTATGTATTTATAAATTCAAAGAAAAATAGTTTAATGACTCTTTTATAGAGAAAGAAGATTTAAAAATATCATAAGATTTGCCTATAAATTTCCACTAAAAAATAGATGTTGCATATACACTACAAAAACTGTGGAAATTTTTAGAAATATCTAAAAGGAGTGGAAAGTTTTAAAAATAGTAAAATAATAAAAAAAATTAAAATTTTTAACTAAAATTTGAAATATTATTTTCATTATTTTCCATAAATGCGTATATGGATATAACACTACTTTACTGTATTTAAAAAGTACATACATACATACATACATATGTATACGAATTTAGGTTTCGAATTGATATGCATACACATATAGACGATCTATTGCCTAAACAAATCATAAATTATTAAATAGAACATTGCCTAGGATTTACCTTGTGTATTATATCAGTGAATATAAAGTAAATTATTTATGTATGCACTAAGCATATAGAGTAACATGAGTTCAAAATATATGCATATATCTATGCCTACATGTAATGTATATCTTATACAGTATGTAATATGTATTGCTACATAATTCAGCGACCACAATTCGTTGGATTAATCTAATTCATTGGCAATTATCAGATAGTATATTAATCAAGCATATTGCTATAAAACACAAATATTAATTAACGATAATATTAAAAATAATTTAGGGTATTAATAATAGAATTATAACAGTAATTGCTGAATTGAAAAACTCATATATAAAATACCTACGCAGGTATATAATTATATAGATAATCTAAATTTACATTAATTATTTCAAATTATTTTTCAAACATGTCTCGTAAATACATACATTCAATCATACATGATATAGAAGTATTTAGCATTTATTTAGAAATTTGTTTATGCTGTTTTCAAAAATAGAAGCAAATAGAAGAAGAAAGAAGGAAAAATTGCGAGACTTTGGACTTTTTATTTTGATATATGTATGTACTTAGGTACTACGTACATAATATGTACGTATGTGTATATTTTTTTATCCAAATATGTAAATACTTTAGTATGTTTGTATTTACATTGTAGAAAATCATGGAATTATAAATTTTGGTTAACGTTTTGAATTTTAAATTTAATGGCGATTGTTTTCTTTGATTTTGATAATTTATTTAATTTTAATATTTTTATAAATTAATTATTTAATGTCCTTTTTACAAGAAGAATAAGAAAAGTTTGCTTCAAACGTGCGGCAAGGTTTTGCTTGCATTTTCTAATAAAAATTTTAAAAAGTGATCAAATTTAAAATCGCAATAGTAAAAAAGAAAAAAAATTGTTTTAAACTAAAAATATGAAATAGGAGCAATATTTTGATTGGAAAAATTTCCGGATCTCTTCTCCCTCCTTCATTAGAATCAGTTCGAGCTTTTCAGAAACCAGCCAAGGTCCTTAGCATTTATATTTGCTAGGTTCGTAACCCGACGAAAAAAGTAGTAACCAAGAAATGTCTGCCTGGTATTTGTCAACGCCGAACACGATCATAGTAGGTTGATCACCGTTTCCTTTTCTTCCTCGTCACTATAGCTCCCACAGAGATTATTTTTAATAAACAAATAAAGAAGAATGTCAAATATGATTTATTAACGTGTTTTATCCCTTTACTTAAGTTATTATCTCTAATTTCTATATTTTCTCTCTTAAAAGTACCTATGTATGTACTTATGATTTCTTATAATGAATCGCAGCAGTAATACAATCTACTGGATGATCTTCAATTTCCATTTTTGTTTACATATACATAAATACCTCAAAGAAAAACGGTATACCTAAATATTATATTCTCTGTTTTTCGCGTTTTTTTTGTTTTTTTTTTCTTTTTTATAACATATGTTGTTTTTATATATTAACAACTTTAGCAAATTTTCTGTTCTTATTTTTTTCTTATACTTCTATTTAATTATTCGTGTTTTTTTTTTGCTAAACAATACTATCTACCAAACATTTACACACGCGCACACACACATTTTACCATAAAATCTTGATAAGCTTAACTATCAATTCACAATTCACAATATATTTATTATTGTAATTACAAATTTAATTTGTTCAAAAAAGAAACTTTAAATTATATTCAGCTATCTAATATAATGAAATGTCATCACATTCATATCATCAACAATTTATTTTGTCAGCAATTAACTTAAGTTAGCAAATAATATTCTACTTAATATAAAGTAATAAACATATATCTACATATTTACAAATATTTATGATATTTAATGGAGCATGCCAATGTATTAGTATCATGTTATTAAAATGTATGTATAATATGCTTAATGTAAAATCATTATAAACCTCCGATAGAGCCACTGATAAATATAATAACATGCTATAGTGTTATATGTACATATTCTGTATTTATTAATTTAATATTGTATTTGTTTATGGGAATAATAATATAAATAATATATGTATATATAGAGTACATATGTACATATATAGAATAAAAATATAGTAAAAATGTTGTTTTTTTTACTAAATAAAAATATCAAACGATCAAAAATTTAATTCAGTATAAATTGTGCCGTGGGTATATAGTTTAGTTGGGAGAGAAAAAAAAAGTTGAAAGAAACAAAATCGCAACTATACAAATTAAATATTGAATACAGCAAGGAATATTAATAATTATTATAAAATATAACTATAAAATTATCGAAAAAAATAATAAATTATTTAAAATTGCAAATTTTTTTCAAAAAAATTTCATTAAAATTTAATTACAAATATTAATTAAAAAACTACTATAATAGCATTAATTGAAATACAAAAAATAATTATTAAATTTTAAAACAATGGAAATTGATATTACAATTTCATGCAATTTTATTCTTAATTAATTATAAAATTAATTAAATTTAATTGTAAAAATAAAAAAAAAAAACATAATCATAACTAAACATAAGGCTGATTTATTAAATAAAAATTATTCTAAAATATGAAATTGTAATTTTATGTTTTATAATAAAAATTATATAAGTAATTGTGATATTTTGTTAAATTAAGAATTATTTAAAAACATAAAATATTTACGAACATAATAATATTAAAATTTAATAAATTACTAAAAAATAACTCAAATAATTTATCCAAAAAAAAATCAATTGTAATTGAAAGTGAAACTCTAATATCTGGTTATTTTTTTTTCTAAACTAAAAATATAAAATATTAAAAAAACAAAAAATGAAGCCAATAATGCAAATTTATACAAAACAAAATCTTATTAAAAATCAATTTTTAATATTAATAAGAAATATTTCAAAAAATCAATCATATTTAAATTCTACATCAGCACAATCAGCATCATCATCATCATCATCATCATCATCTGATGATTTAATATTATCGAAAAAATTATCACAATTATCAATTGATAATAATGGTATTGCATCACTTATATTACAATCATCACCAGTTAATGCATTAGGTATTGATCTATTTCGTGAAATGAAAGAAAGTTTACAAATATTAGAAAAAGAAAAACCAAAAGGATTAATATTAAAATCGGTAAAAATTATTTATTTTTTTTAATATATTTTAATATAATATGTACTTACATAATATATGACTGGAATTATACATATATGAATATACACACATATACCTGCTTGCAATTAATCTGCATTACTTATTATTTTAAATTGCAGCATATGGTAACTTTTATCATATCAAAATAATGATGAAACTTTTCAATTGATGTTAATTATTATGCATATGTATATGTGTATAAACATAATCTATTCTGTGGTATTCATAAAATAACTACATTTTGTTTTCTTACTGAATACATGGGAGCATAAGAATTCAATGTGACATCTAGATATGTTGTTATATTTTTCGCTAATTACATGATTTGATTCCATGACAAGCCTGAGTTTTTTTTTAGCTTTGATCTTACGGATTTATGTCAAATATTTCTTGGGCGTTCGAGTCTTTTTAATCCTTACTGCAAACTCATTTTGACTATGTTTTTTGCAGATTTTCTTAGAGTGTGTCTAATCTATCTCTATTTTCTTTCCTGGATTAGCTTGTCGATAAATTCCTTACCTGTTATTACCTAGAGTTTCTCATTGCTTACGGTTTTCAGTCCGAATATTGGGCATATTATTTTGAGGAAATTTATTGGTAAAAACTTGAAGCTTCTCCTGTGTTTCAGAACAGATTTTATACAGGACCAAAATATTTATTAAAATTGAAATTATTATAATTAATAATTATGAAAATTTTTTTGTATTTTGTTTTATGTTTCTTTATGCCACAGCATAAGTTTTTATTTTACATGTCATACATATTTTAGTTTTATCTGGTTTTAGTACATACAATTATTACTCTCTATACATATTTAATTTATGTTAGTATGTATATATGTAAAATATGTAAATGGTTGAAGAATGCTGACTTTATACATGCTTGTTTTCCATTTTTATAAATTCTTTTATAAAATTGTATTTTTTACATTATGATTACGATTAACCAGAGTGATCTGGTTATTTTAAAATGCTTTTGCAAACATAATGACATTACATTTTTTACAAGCATGTGAAAATGAACATATGTATGTATTTGTAGTAGTGTATCTTATTGTAATTTTTATGTATGTATGTATAGCTACCAGTTTTTAGCTAGTTTATAACAAAAGGGGTGAAAACAAAATTATAGTATGGAATAATCGCCATTCAACATTTTATAATTCAAAAATTTGTATGTATGTATGTATTAAATTTTAGCCAACAGTATTTTAGATATAAAGAAATTTCTGATATAAAAAAATTTTGTTGATTAACCCAAAATTATTTCTTTAATTTATAATATAATAAATTAAATTTAGACAAACACGCTTTTTAAAACAAGCAAGTTTGAACATAGTGTATAATTTGTACCTACATATATACATACAAATAAATTATCAGCCTAATTTTTTAAAAAAAGAATTACTTAAATATGTTTTCGGCACAGATATTTTTGGATACATGTATGTACATACATATTTTGCGATTGTTTTCTAAGAATTAGAATAAAATTTAATTGTCTGACGTTTTTGGATTAATTAAAATATTTGGCCCAGTTCAGATCAGACTATATTTTGATAATTGTTCGTACCTATCAGCATTGATATCTCAAATGCGGAATAACGTAAATCGGCAACAATTTTGTTAGCTTCCATCGTTTCTTTTTTTATTATTTATTGCAATATTATTCTACTATTTTCTTCTTTATTCATTATTTTCAAATTAATTATGATGTGATGTGCTTGGTTGTAATTATATTTTTGTCATTTATCTATAGTATGGTAAGGAATTTTATGATTTTCTTGAAAACCTTGTTTTTCTTGATGTAAGAAACTAGACGAAGATAAATAATTTCCAATTACATTCATTGTACAGTGCTATTAATGAATAATATTAATTTCAAACTAAAAGTTACAACCAGTAATTATAAATAATTGTATACATACATATGTAGGAAACAATAAGTGATTACATTTTTAACAACTCCAATCAAAGAAAACACTGTGAAGAACACATAAATAATATTGTAAATGATTATAAAATAGTTTATTATCAACGCTGCCTATATCCATGATTTAGAATTAAACTTGGCAACGTATTGTAAATCGAAATGGCAATAGCGCTTTATCAGTGCATAATTCAATGCAAATACCCCTTGTAACCTGAATTTTGTATTATAACTGTATATACTGTGTTACTATAGTTTGACGATGACGTATAAATTTCTGTATAAGAATTGCGATCATTGTTAATATTTATCAGTTTTCTTTTTCAATATAAATTTTACATTCTGCTCTGTTCTGGATGCAGATATGCTCTGCCTTATATTATATCGATTTTATATCGTAGATATATAAATAGATCAATGTTTATTCATCCCACTTATCGTATATTAATCTTAAACTTAATAATTTTAACATGATTTGTTTCTAAGAACGGAAATATCCCACGGTGAATCTTTTCCACTTAAATATTTTTCATGTTTCTTCTACATTTTCTCTATTATATTTCTATGATCCATGCATGTATGTGTGTACATGCAAATTCTGGAACCAATTTATTATAGAAAACAAAATTTAATATTAAACAAATTGACTATAAATAAAAACAAATTATAGAACAAAAAACAAAATGAGTTTGTTTATCTTTTCAATTTAAAAATCTTGTCCTTTCAATGTCACGTTATAAAAATTTTTAAATTCCATAATTTATTTATGAAAATTTTAAACATATGTACTTTCAATACCAAAATTTTCTTTTAATTTCTTTACAGAATATTAAGACAATATTTTCAGCAGGATTAGATTTAAAAGAACTTTATCAACCAGATCAAGATAGAATTAAAATTTTATGGAATTTATTACAAGATGTTTGCGTTGGTTTATATTCAGCTAGTTATCCTACTGTTGCTGCAATGAATGTAAGTGTATATTTTATGTTATACTATTGTATATTTTATGTTATACCGTCATTCAGAGTCAATTAAATAAGCATATGCATTAAGCACTAAAAGAGTATATTATCATCAAATTTAAGAAGCGGAAATTTCAAAATTAATCTCAATTTAAATAAAATTTGAGCATTTTACTCTATAATTTTAAAAATTTTAATATACTTGCGTTTAAAAAACCTTTGATCACATTTCTTACATGAATTCTATATTATTACTTCATCACTCATTTGCAAATCACATTAATAAGGGGGCAAAATGAAATTATATATACATATATCGTAAATGTATATATGTATACCTATTGTATAATAATCTAAAGCGTGTAAATATATTCATTTTTATAATCAAAAGCGACAGATACAATAAAGTAAAGAAATATGAAATGACGACAAAAATTCATTTATTTTTTCTTTATTGAAAAAGAACTTTTCTGAAATATTGTCATCTTGGACTTTGCTACCATGTTTTATTGACCTAAACCATACAATGCAAATATATATTTATATAAAATAAAATGAATGGCAAATTATAAGATGCGAGAACTTTGTTAATAAAATGAAATAAATTTCTTTATACTCGTATTCTTATGATAATTTAAATGTACAAGCATAGCGTTACAATCTACATGGGATGTAAAATTTATAAATTATTTTGATCTCTGTACACTGTTCTTTCAACATTGTTATTTCGTTTTTACTGGTAGCAATCTACCCCTTCAACAATTAATAGTATTTTTTATTTATGCTTTCATTTCAAACTTATGTGAGAAAGAGTATATGTATTTGTTTTGAAAGGAGAAGAATAGGTAGGTAACGACAACACGACTTTTGCAAATGAGCGGAAGTCAATTGTCTGTTTTGTTTTAATATCTTTCAATACAGTTTTGATTAATAAATTTTTAAATATTAACAAGCATCATTTAATTAAAAAACTTATATAAATTAAATGTTATAATAATCAAAGTGCGTGTCCGTGTTAACCCAAGTTCAGATCTAGAATAAAATTGCAGCATATTCAGCATTGTAATTTTAGCGGCTGAACAATTCGCATTGCAATGAAAATTGTTGCATAACTTAAAATACACCAATTTGTCTTGTCACTTATTAGAAAATTACACGTTAATTTCGATTTATGTTTTTGAATTTTGTCACGCCGCATGAAGAGTTGAACGTTTGCAATAATTTATTAAATTTTCGTGTTTGATTTTGGCTTTGTGACCGGCCTAAATGTTAAACTATATTCTTGCGCCGTGTTGCCGCCATTCCATTGCCTCAAATAACAAAATTTATTCAAAAACGTTTACAAAAATTATTCGCCACCTCATGATAAATTCATAAATTCTTATAAAATAAATTGTTTACTTACATAAAAATAAAAGGAACAAGTGTCATGACGTCAGCATTTTGCGCTATTAACATCGGTTGCAATAAAAAAAAAATTAATTATTTTTAATTTTTTTTACTTTTAAGCAATTTTATTTTTACTCAAACCAACAAAAAAAAAATGTGATTTAAAAAATTTTATAAATTATATTTCCTTTACTTTCGTTTTTATTCGCTGACTTTCAATTTTTTGATTACATTAATTTTAATTATTAAAATTTTTTTTTAATAAAATTTCTTTAATTACCCTTAATTATTTATAAGTTTTCAATTTAATATTAAAAATTTATTTAATCGTAAATAATATAAAGTAAAAACGATTAATTGGTTTAAAAAAATCGCTGAGTTTACGAAAATTGAACAGATATCCGAATGAAGCCCATAAAAATTCTCTCAAAAAATTATTTGGTAATTTGCTGAAAAATTCTTAACAAAATTATTTTCCAAAATAATTAAAAATTAAATGCAAAATAATTTTTTTTGAATTCTAGCATAATATTTATTTAATTTTTTGGTTCAAAGAGTAAACTACTAGTCAAATACAATTTTGTAAACATACATATAATCTTAAAGTTATATTTGAAATTATAAAAATAATTAGAATTTATTCAGCTTTTATTTGTTAATCTCTAAAAGCGGCAATTATTGTGTACATATAAGGTAAATAATTGCAAATTGGAAAGTAAATTGTGAATTATTTACTTATACTTTTAAAATAACAATAGTCTAAAATAAATAAGAAGAAAATATTGTATAAAAAGATTTAATAAGCGCAGGTTAAATTTTTAGGGTTAAAATAATATTTATTTTAATTCACAAATAAAAAAATTGAAATACAGCAGAAAATTTTATAAAAATCTTAAAATTTCCTTTTTTTTTCTAAACAAATATTTTGAACAATTTTGTCATGGTTAAGAATATTTTGCAATTTTTTGAGCTGAATTCTAAATATATGATTGTGAATGTTTTAGAAATAAGAATTTCTAAATCCAAGGATCTAGTACCCCTACTTAATTATTATCAAAATACTTTAATTAAAATGAAGATATTTCAATTATAAACCAAATAATTCCTATTAGGTTTCTAATCAACATATTCCATATTTTCAAGGACACTTTTGATAACCCTTTATATAACTTTTTCTTCTTAATTTTTTATTTAATCAACAAACTTATTTTGAATACATATGTCTTTTTTAATTAATGGAACGTGATGAATGACACGAATCTGAAATTAAAAATTATTTATTAATTAAAAATTGTAAATTTTTTTAATTCGAGCTCCCTACAAACATTTTTTATTATTGTAGACAATAAAAGTAAATTACAAAAATTCTAGCATTTAATAGCATTCATAATGATTTAATTTTAAAAAATTTCATTAAAAAATAAATAAAATAATTTAATCTTAACAGTATTGTTCGTCAAAAATAATAATTACAAGATTTTCAATTTAATTTTAATAGCTGTAATATTTTTTTTTATTGCAAATTGCATTTATTGCAAAATTATGATTAAAAGAAAATTTTATTTTAAAAAAATGGCAAAAAATTAAAAAAATATTACACAATTTTTTGAATATTTTAAATCTCCTATAATTACAAAAAGGTATACGAGAAAATCGGCATATGTAGATTATAAGCTTACGATATATTAAATGTGAAATATATAAGAATTGCACATGAACAACAGTATATTTTGAAAAAAAAACTGTTATACACTTCCAATATTTCACTCATTTTTTAATAGTATTATACAACCCCAGTATATAGGCGATACCAATTATGTATACGATTTTTTTTTAGGTGTAATACGCGCAATTGGGTGTGAATCATTTATATTGGGTATATGTTGGAAAATTCAAATTTTTTATTAATTAATTTAAGTGAAGCTTACTTACTTTGGATTGAAAATCAGCAGTAGAATGGGTACCTATTTTAAATTAGAAAATAAATCTAAATCATATGAATTATAAGCTTTAAAGAAATTTTTAATTTTATGCCATAATATGACTGTTATAATGTTCAAAACCCAATCTTTTGTAAATTTATTAAGTAATTCATCTCTTACTTATAATAATTTTAGTATATTTTTATTGCTAATTCACTTATTAAGCACTGGTGAATTACTCGTATATTCACGTCAGTGTATATTAAAAATTTATTGTTATATTCAATTTATTTAAAATATTACTTTTATATTATTATAGTATATGTGAAAATATACATGTATAAGGAATATTAAGATATAAGAAAATAATTTCTTAAGTGTTTGCGCAAAAATACATGCAGTAAATCATTATTAACACTCTTATCTATAGCATAAGAATGGAATAATAATAATTTAAATGAATATTGTGCTATAAAAACTTAATATTTAAATTACTATGTTCCTGTGACTGTAATACAAAACTACATAAATAAAACTTAAAACAAAATCGAGGTGTTATAAAATTTGAATTCCCCGGGCCTTACAAAATTTTCAACCCCTATAAGATTTTATAAAATCTAAAATTTGAATCATTTGGTACAATTTTAATGTGGCCAAATTAAAATGGGGAGAATAATTTTTAGAAAATTTGAGAGAATTCTCAGAGTCATTATTAAATCAAGAAATTTTACTCAATCAAGAGTAAAATTTTCAAGCAAAATTATTAATTTAATTTCAAGAAAAACTCACTTTTAGTAAGTGTTTCAAATTTTTCCAAAAAATTACTTTTAATATTTAAATTTGATCTACTCGAAACTATACTAATTCTAATTCATGGAATTTTGTTTTAAAATTTTAATTGATAATATACGAGTACAAGGTAAAAAATTAGAAAAAAAAAATAAAATAAACATCTGTTTTTTTTTTTTTTTGCAATCAATTTATATTGAAGTAGGTGCATGGGTTGGTCACATCATTTATTATGAAACATTATTGTATATCGTATACTTGTATATAAACAAAAAAATTAAAAAAAATTAATTTAAATAAAATTTACTTATGTTAAAAATATTGCTTATCACATACACTCTTAGTATAGTCGTGGTAATATAGTAGAATTCTTAAATAAAAAAATTTATTAAAATATGAAAACAATTGAATAAAAATTTAAGTTATATAAAATGTTTTTTCAATTCTTAAACTTTGAATAATTTATTTATTCATTATTCAAGCTATTATGTATGTGCATAAATTTTTATTTTAGAAATATTTAAACATTTTTTAATAAACAATATTCTATATATACATTATGAATTAATTTTGTATTAAATTTTAAATTTAAAATATTATTAATCTTAATATTATCAAAAATGAACAGGTGTTTGAGATTCGGTAATCTTACCCAAAATTTAATTAAAATTACATGTAAACATTTTGAATTGAATACGTTCAATGTATATAGTCGAGCAAATAGGGCTAAATGAATTGAATTTTCAAGAGTTTTTAGGATAATACTCGTATTTCCAACATATTTTGTATTTATTAATTTTACTCTTTCTGTTCGTATCACAATTAAATTAATTTAGCTTTTAATCTTTATACGTTAATATTAGAACAGTTCGTTGCGAACTCCCTACAAATATACTCCTCACTCCTA